TATCAGTTCTAACTAGTTAAAATTCCCCAACCGAATTAAAAATAAATATACTAGTCAACAAAAGAAACGATACACAAGTTTGAACTTAAATTTATCATAAAATATAATAAATAGGAAAATCTTTTAAATTATCCTATGAAAAACATTCATTTACAAAGCAAATGCATATGATTAAAAGAATATGACCAAATTAGAAAGTTACAAAATACCGAGTTATTGAACACAGGGGTCAAATTTATTTTGCAGAAAAGTCGGCACTTAATTTCGAAGATGATAATTAAGTATTCAAATATCTGCAAAGGCATTCAAAATTTTAAGCAGACCATGTTTAAGTTTAAAAGTTTAAAGTTCTAACACCGATTTTTGAATTTTTGGGTGAAAATACGATTTTTGAAATAACAAAAATTTTAGAATTTTTTTTTCGCGTTTTTGCTTTGGTTTTGATGAGAAAAATAACACTCTGTAAAAATTAGACGAATAAGGCAGTTATTTACCTTGATACAGTGTATTTAATTTGATGATATATGGAAAATACATTGCCTTGTATCGTTTCTTTTGTTGACTAGTATAGTAGTCCCTTCCTTTTTTTTCATCATATTTGTTAATGTTAAAGCTTAATGGGATATATTTATATTTTTTTTTTGTAACATTTGTATTGAATATCTCAGCTATTCTTGGTTTGCTGTTATTGTATTTTAATTTTTATCGTTGTAAAAATTTCTTACCGTGCAACATTGATGATGGGAGTTTTTAACGGCCTTCACTCGCTATACAGCCCTCGCACAGTCGTCTACACCGTCCCCCTGCCCCTCCAATGTTGTTCGAAGTTCATGAATAATCATAATGAATCACATGAAATGGGGATGAAATGAAACTGAAAATAGCTTAATTATATATAATTTCTGCAATTGTTTGTTACATGATCATTAATTGTAAATAGATAAATGCTTGACACCTTATGATACAAGTATTTGTTGTTTTACGCATCAAAGAAAACTTAATATTTCAATTATTCTAAAGTAATAATTTTTAAAGGGAGGTAAATCATATTTTTTAAAGATTTATAACAAAAACTTTATTCCACATTTCCGTGCTTTTTAGGGTTAAATTGTTAAAGAAAAATGCTGCTTCACATTGTGTTTTAAAAAAGAAATTCCTTATTTCTCCACTATATTTTTTAAAAATTTATTTCTCACCCTTTCAACGTGCAGCGCGGTGTGCTAATAAAATATACAAATGTCTTTTAATTCTGAACAAAAAATGAAAATGTAAAATTCAGTGGAGGATTCAGATAAAGCGTGGTGGGTGTACGACACCCTCCCCTTTAAACGGAAAAATATCTTCTTTTTTTCGGCATATAAAATCGTTCTACATTTTTTTGAAATCCTCCTATCAGCGGTATATGTATATGTTTTTGGCAATTAGCCCCCCCCCCCCCTCCCCTTCAAAAATCCTGGATCCACCCCTTAAACTCAGGCATGGTGTCTTCGATTGTTAAATTAAAAAACGTTATATATAGTATAAAAAAGACATTTGAGTCTTATGCAACTTTTGGGTTTAAAGACATATCTGAAAACTGGCTGCTAGCGGAGTGGCTGCTAGCGAGTGGCTGCTAGCTTGAGTCTAATAGCATCAGAAGCGTTTTTATAGTTACATGAAATGGAATAGAGATTGTTTGAGGTGTTTAAGTTGCTTAATCATTAAGTTTTCTATGTAGTGACTTGTAGCTTTTGCTGGTCATTTCGTTTTTCTTTTCTTTGGAATGGTTTTGAAGGATGATTATTGAATGCACCTCCTGTATCTCCTTGTAATTTTTTTTTTTTTTTTTTTTTAAGACTTTTTTGTTGACCTCTGGATATCTTTGCATTTTTTTATTTTTCGGTTGGTGCCTTGATGACATATAATAACATCTCCTTCTAGTTATAAGTATAACTGAGAAATCTATACTTTTTTCGTTGTTTTTAAAATGTAAAACTACCGTATTGAAGTAATTTTTAATTTTTGATATCAAATAGCACGTTTAGTACAAATTCATATCTTTAATAATTTGTATTTGCTAATCATTATAAACCTGGTATGTTTTCAATGATTTACGAGACAAATATGAAAGTCGTTATTATATAATTATCTTATAATGGTTCTCTATTGTGAACAAATATAAATACATGAACTGACAAAGACATCAAATGGTCTGCATCCATCACACGTTTTACACAGTCTCTTTCAAGTAGATAATTTAAATATAATATAAATGATATAACGTTGTTAACCAGCCATGTCTCTATACAGTTATTAGAACATTAGCCTTGAGTAGGAGACTAGCTGACTATACTGTTAGGACTGTGGTATGTCATACAGGAGGAACACACTACCCTTTATGATGAACATTTATACGAGGCAGCAATCTCGTAATATACTGATTGATTAATTGTTGGTGTTTTACACCACTTTAAGCACTCTTGGCTATATCATGGCGGTCAGGTTTTATTTGTGGAGGAGGCCCCCGGAGTAGTCGGGGAGTACCAACGACCTTCTGCACTCTTGATGGTTCCGTCGGTGGTGCCCTGTTTCAAATCAACTCTATTCCGTATATTCCCAGTCGACCTACGTTGCACAACCTAACTTCTGGATATATTGTTATAAAAATAAGGAGATGTGGTATGATTACCAATGAGACAACTAACCACGAAAGAATCTATCTTCAATAACGAGCAAAACCCATGGTGTATTTGTTCTCGTCATGAATAAATATGAAATATTTGCCACTGGACGTTAAGCAAATAACAATCAGTCTTTCAACAGTGGTGCCGACTGTTATGCTTAAATCAAATTGCTTAGTAAAATAGGTTTCATTGCTTCAAACCATACCTACATTAGTTTCAACAGACTCATTTCACATGGTTCAATTCAACTGTAATGTGGATTTCTTAAATGCAAAATGTTAGCTGCAACAATTTTTAAAAGTACTAGTTACCCCTTCATATGTTAAGGTGAGTGTCGCTTCATACCATTTATATGACTGACTATCCGTAGCCAGTAGTACATGGGTTGTTATGGTCTTTGCCTTTTCCGTCTACATACGTACAAATTGAGTGTCGGTAACGACCTTTTTTACCCATTGCCATTATTTGTTACTCACATTTTACATCACGGTTTAGAATTTTTAGGCAGTTGAGACGATGGATATTCCCTTTCTCCTCCTTTTTTGTTTATGATAAATAGATGTCACAATGGCAAGCATATTATTCTTTATTATACTTAATTTGAAACAATCTTAACTGTTAGATATTTTTTTATCAATAAAGTGTCGTAAGATCTAAACATTTACAAGTTTAACCTTTCTAAAAAGGTACGAATTATCATAAATTACGTATTCATGAAGCAATAATTGTTGATCGGGTCTTGAATGGCCATACTGTAATTTAATATCTTCTGCTGTCCGGGACATGTTCCAAATTCTATATCTCATTCTAGCCAATCGAATTTTACCCACATCATACGGTAACCAATCAGAACCGATAATTGTTAACGTAATAATTTCAAGATGGTGTTAATATCGAACGAAAGTAATAGCTTTACATCAGTAAGACAATAGGGATCATGACTGGTTATATATTGTATTTGTAATCAAGTTATTACTGTAGTAAACAATTTCTATACATAATTCATTAATTATAAATCATCTGATTGTGAATAACAATTTGATTATGTGTCTTACGGAAATGGAACGCACGTAATGTTCTTTATGATTGTACATATTCTAATTTTAATACACTAATATAAAATAATTATATTATTTACAAGCTTAACGGTTAAATGAATATATCTTTTTAATGAAAAATAATTAATTTCATGAACATGATAACAGAGTAGTTTTTTTAATTGAATTGTATATACAGTATAAACATGTAACATACACAAAGAGGTTCCTGACTGGTAATATACATATATATAGTGTATATGCAGGGAGGTTGATATATTTGCCTGGTGCATATGCATGGATCTAAATTAGAGGACATACAGAATCAAAAGATATTTTTTATGTTCATATTAATAGAAGGTTAATATACTGGTCTGTTTTCAATTCATTGTTCTTGTATTTTGATAAATTCTTAAAAAAAAAAAAAAGTCACTTATAATGGTTTTATTTTTATTTTTAGTGTCGACTGGACCAACTTTGCACTTTTATTTTTTTTTTATTTCATCCCCTCGACCCTAATTTTTTACAAATTTTCTCGTTAAACAGATAAAAAAAAGTCTGGCCATACATACATTTGTATATGCATTGCGCAGATTGATAAAAGATTACATCAACACTATATATTTTGATATTTTCAGTTCGAAACAATTTAGACAAAGAGGATTTTAATTTCAAGGTATATTTTATCGATGTTTTTCGGTCACTTGAAAAAAAACTTTATAACGGGACCAACTCGCCACCTTCTCTCTTTTTAATACAATAAAAGCAAAAAACGTCAATCATTGGAGTTTTGATAAACAAATCGTTCTCATTTTTCACCCAAAATCATTTGAATCTCTTTTTCTTGCCAGAGTTTTCACCATTTTTACCAGATCATGTTAAAATACCAGTTTTGTATATTGGTGGCCTTCGGCTGTTGTATGCTCTTTGGTCGGGTTGTTGTCTCTTTGACATATTCCCCATTTCCATTCTCAATTTTATGTTAATACGAGGGCCTATTCTCTAACCGGTGACGTAGCTGAAAGGGCAACAGTTTTTTTAATGTTACCCTCTAGTATTTACAAACTTGTAATACTTTAAAAGGACAATAATAACATAACATTCAAACACATTAATATAGAATAACCTTACAATGTCTGTTTTTATCCAAAAAGCATCAGAAAACACAAATGTACCCTTGAAAACAATATTTTTTTCTCACTTTCCCTATATTGGAAACTGTAAATTAACTTGTATAGAAATAATACAAGTAAAAATCTTCCAAATGTCAAAGTTTGAATCATTAATTGAAAAGATTTACCTTTCTGAGAAATTTCCTGACTTCCAGCGTTGAACTATTACATTTAACGAATGTTCAGTATAAATTCCGTTCACCAGCAACGTTTCATGTTTATAACTACCAGAAAAAAAACTACAATTATTTCTGTCTTTATTATAAACATTTCTTTACATGGGTGAAAGTCAAATTGATTTCTATAGAATTTTTCGTCGATGAGCTGTTTTATGGGCAAATAAATACACAATTTATGTCGTCATGATTTTAATGGAGGCTAATTAAATCGTACCTAAGTCTAGGTTAGTCTATGGAAAGGTATATACTATGAAATTTAGAGCGAGGGGCTTGCCCCAAGCTCTTAATTTCATAGTATATACTTTTCCATAGACTATCCAATTTAGCACATATTTACAACTTGAGTAATCTTTTAATTGGTCTATTGATAGTTTATTTTGGCTGACTACTTGTATCACAGGTGTTTGTAAAACGGAGCTCATTAACGAATTTTGTAAATCTACTCACCAGTATCATTGTAAAATATGTGATTTCAAAAGGCCCTTCACTCCAGAATGAAAAGATGGTAGCTGCTGGTGTAAGTATGTATACTGATATAAAGCGGTGTTTTACTATACATGTTCTTCTTAGGTAAGATGACAAAATGAATTGACCAAAAGCAGGTAATAATGAAATTGCAGTGGAAGCTTTACATGTTTTGAAAACATTTTTTAATTTCACAGTAAAACTAAAGCTATAATAAATTTGAAACATATAGATAGTTTGTCCCCAAAGATATAGTCTAGCAGATAGGCATTAAAAAGCAACTACAAATAGATCAGAGATTATAGGTTTTGTGTGGTTTTTTTTATTAGTTCAAAGTAAAAACTAAAAGATTTATCAGAATATGTTTATATATATATATATATATATATATATAGGTGGCACATTCTCTTCAGACATAATCACAGTTTTTCAATTCATGACATCGTCCTGAACATGTAGGAAATATTTGCCACTGGACATTAAGCAACCAATAATCAATAAATCAATCAATTCATGACGAAATAGATCACTTTCCTTAAGAAAGTTTAAAAAATTATTACCAAGTTGCTTTAATTTTCCTTCACAAGTTTTCATAGTACACACTTTTCTGTGTACAAAGTAATTGCATGGATGATACATTATCATAATTTTAAGATATCGTTGTACTCTAATCAAGGTATAAAGAACCATATGTATTACCCTTTATTTTAATGATAAAATTTGCAATTGTCAAAAACATTTTTTAGATCCAAAGATTTTAATAGCAGGATATTTAAAAATCAATGTGAAAACTAATTACAAACTATTTAATTTAATGTCTTTAATTTGGAACACAGCATTTTATTTCAAAATAGCCAGTGGCAATTTTTGTTTTAAATATCTTGATTACGATACAATGAAATCTTACCCTTGTGGTCATTCATGCGTAGTTACTTAGTACACAGGAAAAGTATGTACTATGAAAATTAGAAGGCAAATATAAGCAATTTGATTGGACGAGAAGTTGTAAGTATGTGCTAACGTGTCGTGGTTTTTATGAGGGCTGATAAATTGATACTAGGGTGTAATTACCCGTTGTAGAAATGTACGTTTCCAAAAGAAAATAAATGTTGGTCATGGATCAAATGTTTAATACTGTTTTTCAATGTCCGCTGGGTTCCTGCAGTTTATGACCACTAGTACAATCCGAGGATTGGGTACATTTTCTAATGATAACTGGGTAATCCTCTTTAATTGTCATTTTTTCCAATGTAAAGATAGTGGTCATTAAATCCACACAGGTGTATTTAACTACAGGTCAGACTTAATCGCCACAATCACCACTCTTCTTCAAATACCTTATTTTCTGTGACATCTACCCAGAGAGATTTTAAAACTGTATTAAAATTATAAAATAATAATATCGTTTTATCAGAACCATCCATCAGAGAGAACTTCCTTGATGACCAACCATAAAATGCACTAAAACGAACAGTGATACTTAAATTTAACCCGTAAAACCAGGGACCATTACATGTTCTGCTTATTTCAAAATAAAGGTTGGTATTGTAATGTTCCTAGTGAATTGTGTTGCTTTACTAAAATGAAAATAACACCATATAAGTTTGGTGCGTCTGAAGCGCTTTATGAAATGTCCTTTATCCGGAAAGCCCCAATCCAAAATGTGGAAAGCCAATGATGTATACATGTACATATGTGAACACACGAGGAGCTACATGACTAACCAAAACGGACCCAAAAAGAACAGCCCAAACCACATAGCATTACCTGTATCCAAGTTTCAAATTATTTACATAACACCAAAATCTTACACTAGTATCTAAAGAAATGTTAATCTAAAAAGCGAATTAACTGAAACCATCGAATCTGACACAGCTATAATCAATATTTTTTTTTAATTCGGGACTTATAAAATGACAATTTAAACTAGTATTTTGAATGGGGATTTTGTAATGTCGATCTTTATGAATTTGTCTACCTATCATTTTTTTTAATTTTTTTTTAAATATTAAACATATATCGTTTTGTTGATAGGTTTCTACATTGTATTTCCATTGTCCATGTATTTATTGAACGAAGACATGGAGTTTGATCAGTTTGTAGAACCCCTGAAAAAAGTTTTAGAAGAATAAAGGAAAGAACAAAAAGGATGCTACATCAGAAAGGAAAAAGAAAGTGAAAGTAGAAGAAAAAACTGATGCAGACTCCGATGAAGAAGGACAGGGAGAAGCAATGGAAGAGGACGTGGGTGGGGAATGTTGTTACTATATCTGATGATGATAATTAAAGATTAATACAGTTATCGAATCAATGTTTTATCTTTCCGTTGATGTCTTTCGATGGAACTTGTAAATGCAACAAAACGAGTTGCAATTACCACACTCAGATGGCATTTGACTATTTGTCATTACTTAAAAAGATGCATTATATGAGCTGCGTCGGATAGAAATCGACCTTATGCAAGTGCACGTATACATGTAAATGTATAAGACTTTTATTGATCTTGGAACGTCCAGATACGAAATAAAAAATGAGTTTTGGTCTGTTTTGTAGGGTTCTTATATCAACTCAAACAGTTACAGACATTGCATAGAGATTTTTTTCAACCCGAAATAAGTTAACAGATGTATTTAAAAGATATTCATTTGCATAAGGTCGATTTCTATCCGACGCAGATCAATTATCTTTTAGGTCCATGCTATAAAACGTATAATAATATTTAATAAGTAAATAACAGACAAAATATTACATTCTATAGCTGCATTTAACTTTAAATGATCATAGACACAGATGTTAACATCTTAGTAAATTTTAAGCTCATATGATAAAGACTTCCATTTCAATTGTTTAATTTCAACTGAGTATCCGCTTCAGTGTTTTGCAAATCTGTGTGAAGTTTTACACACATGATTTTTTTTAAAAGTTAATGATATGAATTATTAGTAGTTCGAAAGCGTTTGGAATATACATTCTGTGTGTGTCTGTCGCAGGTCAAGATCATGTGGTTGTCGTATATTGCTGTATATCGTATTTGGTTTTCGCTTATTGTTTTGCACATTAATCCGGCCGTTAGTTTTCTCGTTTATATCGTTTTACATTTGTCATGTCGGGGCCTTTTGTAGCTTGCAATGCGGTATGAGTTTTGCTAATTGTTGTAAGCACAGTCTACGTTAACCTATAGTTGCTTACAACCTAAATTAATAAGACAAATATATGAAAAATAAAACATAAAAATAAGAAGATGTGGTATTATTGTCAATGAGAAAACTTTCCATCAGAAATCAAATGACGTTGAAGTCATCGTACGACACACAGGCGCTTGGGGACAGCATATGGATAGAAAATTGAGGATTTTACCAGAGTGGATCCATTCATCCAAAACAATGAATTATCTAGTATAAGTCAAAGTAGTGTGAATTATGTGGTATAAAAGTAGAAAATTGAATATTCATTGCAAACAATGCAAACAAATGTATTCAAATCATGTACCCCATCAACAATGGTAAATTCTACTGGTACATATACTACCAACCAAAAGTAAACATATGAAATGGATAAACTAGATATAAAAGTAAGGAAATGTGGTATGATTGCCAATGAGACAACCAACGGCCTGATTTATGCTAAAAACAATTACAGAAATAAACAATCGTAAGGGGTTCCACGGAACCCTGTGTCTCGCCTGCGATTGCTGTTGTCAGTGTAAAGTGTAATGTTGACTTAAAAAGTGAGTTTATTTATCAGTAAAATACAGAATTTAAAAAAAAACATCAAACTTTTTCTTTAGATGCTATTTCTTGGACTTGAAGATTAGCTTCTGTCCAACATTTTTTATAATAATCCATGATGGTTTTCAAATTTATCATGTCAAAACAATTTAATCCCAGACTGTCTGTAAATGTTAACTGTAAAAAAAACAAAGTCCATCTATCAGAAAAATACTAAAAATGAAAAAAAAATTTCAAAGTTTTGCTTCAGACGTTATATTTAACCATTAAAAAGCTTCTGCCAAAGTTTCAGAAAAATCTATAAAGGTTTGACAAAGAAATTGATGTGAAACAAACTACAACCTCAGACTAAATCTGAATGTTAGCTGTGAATAGATATAAGAAGATGTGGTATGAGTGCCAATGAGACAACTCTCCATCCATGTCAAAATTTATAAAAGTAAACCATTATAGGTAAAAGTACGGTCTTCAACACGGAGCCTTGGCTCACACCGAACAGTAAGCTATAAAGGGCCCCAAAAATTACTAGTGTAAAACCATTCAAACGGGAAAACCAACGGTCTAATCTATATAAAAAACGAGAAACGAGAAACACTTATGAACCACATCAACAAACGGCAACTACTGAACATCAGATTCCTGACTTAGGACAGGTGCAAACAAATGCAGCGGGTTTAAACGTTTTAATGGTACCAAACCTTCACCCTTTTTCTGAAACAATAGTGTAACATCACAACATAGAAAGACACACTATAAAATATCAACTGAAATAGCTTAACTCAATCAAAGGACATATTAACACCAGTGAACATACACTGAACAATTAAACTAAGTCCATTTATCA